CGGTGGTATTATTTAAATAATATTTCACTTATTTCTTGTTGTTTATAAGGCAAACATGGTTTAAAAAGATGCACATTTCAATTCTCTACAATCTGGTGTATATGAAATTATTCTCTCGACTTTTGACCTTTGAACTGTGACAGACATACACACACGCAAACGTATTTTCGTTTTCTGTCCACTTTTTGCCGACATTACCTTGTTTTCAGTCGAGGCAATAATTTGATTTATACCGGAATATAAAATATAAGTACGAATGAATAAGATTACGTCTTCCTCTAGCACGATTTTTTTACGAAATTTAATCCTGGGTTAAAAATGAATAAAAAATATTAATTAAAATGCGAATTACAAGAAATTTTCATTTATTTCGTAGTTTATGTTGTATATACTACTTATTTTTCTGTATTGTCTGTTTCTACTTTGGTCTGTGCGACATCTTTAGGGTGGCCGCTTGTGGTCCTGCGTATATGATATAGTAGACACTTTCGTAAGAAGGCACAATACTGAAAGGCTTTCCAGATCCTGCCATTGCCGTATTTCCTTCTATTTCATGAGCATGGGTTCCATTATTACGAATTGCAATGTGTACTTGATCCCTATTTATTTGGTGCGAATGCATTCCACGATCATTGCCGCCACCACCGGTACCAAACATCGAGTAGGAACCTCTCGAATAGTCGCTATCTCCGGTGCGCCCACCGTGGTCATGACCTGGATCATCATAATCGTGTATGTGTCCACCAGCTATACTAGTTGACAGATTGCCTTTTTGGTGAGTATGAGAAGGAAGTTCCTGTTCAGTTAGTGTAACTTCTAAGGCACCTCCTTGATGTGCGCTTACTGTGCGACTTTCAGCCTCACTAATACCAAATGGAAATCTAGCTCGAAAGTCAGGCAAGTTAAACGTCGTTGTGTGATCACCTGGTCCATAAAATACTCCGATTACAAGGTATAAATCGGAGTAATTGTGGCGCGATATAGCCGTGCCGTCGCATAAAATCCAACCAGATGGCACAGATAAGCCTCCATAAAGAAAAATCGTACCAATAGGCAGAGATGGCAACCATGTATTTCTATCATTTTCAGTCGCGTAAGCAGAAAGAACTAATGTTAGTACTTGAATCAAGACGAGTGTACTTCCATTTAACATCATATTCCTACAGTTTGATTCTGTAGTTTGTATAGAGCTTTGCGTATGTGGAAAATGCTATCGTTTTGTGAGTATGCCACTTATATATGTGTTTTTTTTTATATAGATGGGCATGATAATTCATCGTTCTTTCAAGATAATAGTGCTTAGTATAAAAAAACCTTGATATTGTCTGATTTGAGAAAGTCATGTAAGTAAACCCTGATTTTCGTTTGTGTATACACTGATAAATCCTTTTCTAGCACGTTTGTCCCCTAAATAGAGGTGTTATCTTATCTTTACTTTATAAAATAAAATAAATATTCACTCTATCATTATATTTATCAAAAAAGAAATAATGATTTTCGTTACTCTATTCCTTCTTATTAAATAATGTGAAAATAAATTAGCACCTTTACTCATAAAGCAATGATTATGATGCCAAATACCATTGATACAGATGAGGACGTCGTCATAGATGGATGTGGTTGTGGATGAGAATACAATTTTGTTAGAATATTAGAAGATATGAAACAGTCTGATGTAGAATCAAGTAATGAGACATTAACAGACACTTTCGTATTAAGAACTTATTGTTCGATCGCTCTCGCATTCACTATGCAAAAGCAATTAGACTATGTGTAGAAAAAGAATGTTCTTCTTGTTTATTGAAAAAACACCAAACCGCATCATTAGAAATGAATAAAGGACAAACTTATGGTTTATAAGTCGTATTTCCATCTTATTTTGCAGTCCATATATATTCAATAGTTCCATATCCAATTATATTCAAGACAAGATAATCCTCTGATTCCCAAAGAAAAGTTCGAAACTCCAATTTCATTTTTACCAGAAAGCAAAATTCCATATAGAACAGTGATTTGAATTAACCATATTTCATTTGTTGAATCTCAAAAAGCAATAATAACTTACAGAATGTTCAACGTATTCTCTGCTGACTTCCAAATCAGCTAATTCAGCGTATTTCGAATTGTTTGTATAGCTGACAAAAATTTTGGAAAACATGACTGATATAAATGCTTGTTCAAACCGATTAAGGCTGTTATTGGTATTACTTGGATATTTCACATCTCGACGATCGAGAAAAAACAATGTCAAAACAATAGAAAACGTACAGATGCAAAAGTAAACAATACAAGGTATATTGAACCATCGAAAATAAATCAAAAGCTTTTCATGTTGAAGTCAAATCTGAATGCATATATTTACAGTTTTTCACTCGATTGAGTGAACATTTAATATATCATACTATTTTTGTGTACTCAAAAAGCGAATGTACTACAGAATCGGTCAGCATGTTCATCTGATCGTATACACGATAACTCCTTAAAACTACAGTTGATTGATCTAGAAATTTTGTGCACAGAACTGTCTCATCAACATCTCGCCCGAGTTCGAGGATGAGGCTAATTGAACAACTTATTCCAGAGGTATCAGATAAATACTGCTATTTCCCTGAGACTTCCTTATATGTTTGGTCTCATACACTTTTTGCAGAACATATCACCTTCCGCATTTATTGTCTCGGTAATAATAAATGGTTATTGCGTACACTTTCAAAAAGCTTTTGAGAATACCAGAGCGGTGTCGTAATATCGCTTAAAGTCGTGGAAATACTGAAGATTTAACGCATAAAATGTAACTAGTCTTTCTAAATTTCAATGTTAAAAACTTTACTGTTAGCAAGGTGTTTTCTATGTTAGTTTGTATAGATAAAAGAACTATCTATGGAATGTTTGATCAATTGTTTAACACTCTCGTTGAACATTATTCGCATATTCATGATCCATATTTCCTCCTGGCATGTGTTGTGCAACAACAAAAAATTGATTGGTCGGCGATACTGCTCTGACAACATCCAAACGTGTTGAACCCTTCCAAACTACCTGTAAAAAATTCCCTGTTTTTTCCGAAGACTTTAGATTGTCCCAGTCGTCTTGAACAGCTTCTCCACTTTTTATGAGTAAGAAAGAATTTAGATGAAAAAAATCAAATAAATACTATATTTTACCGTCGCTAGTTGCTAAAAAATTTCTGTTTGTATCCTCAGCTGCAAATAGGTTCTCCTCCACTTCTTCTCCATTTACCTTACCACTACTGTGTTTAGCATTTAAACCATCAATTTCAGCCAATTTGTCTGCATATGCTTGTGCCATGTTGTTAAGTTCATCATCTAATATCACAGGTTCTGCACAATGTGCTTTTCGATAACTATTATGTTGATCCAAAGCTTGTTACCTGTATGTATCGAGCGATATTTCTGAACTTCGTGATTGTAGTTCTACAATAATATCAAAACAAAGATTTTTATTGACTTCTCTCAACTAATCAACTGAGAATATCATTACCTTTATAACGTAGTTGGTGCAAAATTCGTCGTAGATTTAGTTCTAAATGATTATGTTTATTAGTATTTAGTCTAGCATTACTGCGATAACCGTTAGTATAAGGTGATGAAAGAAATATTGTAACTGCTAAGATACCAATTAGTACTCTCATTCTTATTGAAAGATGCTCCTTCTAAATACAGTATAATAAAAGTATACTATTTGCTGCCACTTATTACCGTGTCCGGAAAGTTCGTGCAACTTATATATTATGAAACAATATGATAACAAATACTGCCTTTATTATATGTAATAACCTTCGCTAGCAACCACACGTTGCCACCGATCATATAAACTTTTAATTCCGTTGAAAAAAAATCTGAATCAAGATTTCTTAAGTAGTCCTCGACAGTCGTTAACACTTCCTCATCAGACATAAAATTCTTACCACGAAGAAATGCCTTCATTTTTTTGAACAAATAATAATCACTAGGAGCAATATCCGGAGAATACGCAGGATGGTTTAGTTCGACGAAATTCACCTTACGAATAGCACTTTGAACAACGTTGCTCTTGTGGGCAGGCGCATTGTCATGAAGGAGTATTTCATCGCTGACCCTTCTGTGACGTTTTGCTTGAATAGCGATACGGAGTTGCTCGACAAGTGAAGCATATTAAGCACCATTGATCGTCTCCCCACGGGTCAGGTAATCGGTAAGCAGCACACCTTCTTCGTCCCAGAAAACAACAAGCATGACCTTGCCTGCGGTTCGCTGTCGGCTCACTTGACTTGGTGTTCCTTCCCCTGATTTCTTCCAGACCATAGCTTCTTGGCGGCTAAGTGGATCATAGTGATGCACCCACGTTTCATCCCCGGTTACGATACGGCTGAGAAATTTGGCCGAATCCCGCTCACATGCCCGTAGTAGCTCCTGGCAACACTCCACTCGGTTAATACGTCGAAGCGGGGTCAAGAATTTCGGCACCCAACGAATGCAAACCTTGCGCATACCTAAATGATTGCTAATAATTTCGTGAACGATGGTTTTTGGAATGTTCAATTCATCAGCTACACGCCGAACGGAAATTTGTCGATCACGCATCACAATATCTTCCACGGCTTTGATATTTTCATCGGTGGTTGTAGTCGATGGACGGCCACTTCGTGACGCGTCTTCAAAGTCGCGGGTTGGATCATCTTTAAATTCAGCCACCCATTTTGCAACAGTACGATACGCTGGAGACGAGTCGTTATAAACCTCTTTCAGTTCCTTGGTAATTTCGGTAGCGTTCAGTCCTTTTCGAGTAAAAAACTTTATGACCGTTCGATATTCGACGTTTGACATGTCTGAAACATGAATAGACACAAAATCCATAATACTGAATGACAACGAAATATGTTTCTATATTTTTTTCAAGCCGCATATAATCTTATGTAACGATACTATAAGTATTACTCGTTTATAACTAGAAGAATGAATAACAAAAGCAAAAAGTCACGCATACTCCAGATATTCACATAAGAAAAAGAAAGATTGTGCAAAGCGAAAGAATATATATTTTCAAAAATATTTTTGCTATCATTTTGTACATTTTTCTCTTTCCTTCGTGATACGTGCCACGTTTTGCTTGTCCAATTCATTGCGTGATGATATCGAGTAATACTTATATAAACTTGAAATAAAATCATCAATGATTATATTAAAATACAGAAGTGTATTTTTTTGTAGTTTGGTACCATTTATTTCGTTATTTATTCTTGACTGCTCCAGTAACTAATTCTTATGGATAGACACGGTTGTGAAAACTAACCCTTTCAAAAAATAATGCAATTAGTCGAGAAGAAGGTCTGTATCGTGTGAAAAATTCATGTTTTGCACGATAACATGAAGTAAAGGTTTCATATATGCAACTGAGATATAGTTGCACGAACTTTCCGGACAACCCTATACTTGACAGAAATTTGAAATGAATGACAGAAAATATATTCAGCTGCTAACTATTTATACGTTCCCTTCTTACAATGAGCTCTCATGTGTAAAGGTTAGATGACATCGACAAAAATGTATGTAACATCTACCTCAAAAGAGAGTATTATTCATCAGAGGTGACAGCGACGAATAGTAATAGTCACGAAAGTAAATTTGATAAGGGAATAGATATAGTACGTTAACTTTGTTTACATGAAAGATTGATTTTCGCCGGCTATTACAAATATACAAATAGAAACATTTCTTGTTTACGACGCATTTGTTTGTATTTGAAGGATTTTGATGAAATCATCGATAAAGAAGATTGAATATGGAACTAACTCAAAAATATGTCATTCAGATATCACATCAAATCTCTCTTTCTCTCTCTATGCATGTTTATATATACGTTTGCACTCATACACAAAATAAATCCTATAGAAGAAGAAGTGAGTCGAGCTATGAGTGTACAAGGTGCAACGTTGTACTTTGTATTGATCCACATTTTCTTCTGTTTTTTTATTGAAAAACGGCTTCTGTTTATTATATGTTACAATAAAACATGTTTCTAAAAACAATTCAGTATTTTGATTAGATATCTATGAATATTCGAAAACGATTACACGAAAAATTCAACGTTGAAGGGATTAATACATTGAATGAAAATATCCTAAATAGTTCATAAAATTGCATTGACGTTATGAAAATTGTAATCACCACGTGCATCTAGAGAGTAAATGAGTCTTATCTTTATATAAATATATCTGGATTGTGCCTTTTCTTTTCTTTTCTTTTCTTTTGTAGTCAATAAAACTTCATATCAGTATTCGTAAATTCAAGACAATCGTTATAAACACCGTATGCAATGGCTACCAAGGTCAGAGAAGTATCTACAAGAAGAGTGACAGAAAAACGACTTCATAGTACAAGATCATCCCGTCATGTTCAAATTATGGCAGAATCCTATCTAGTTTGGCTAAATTTTAATATGAATGAAAATAATAAAGATTGCTGTAAACATTTCGAGGAAATATGTGAAGTGATTAATCATGTAAATATATTTACAGATGTTGATCAATGTATGGATTTCCTCATTAATATTAAAAAAGCAATGATTTTTGTAATTATTTCAGAAGAATTTGGTTCAAAAGTTATTTCTATCGTTGAAAATCTTTCTCATATCAATTCCATTTTTATCTATTGTGAAAATCTTGCTGAACACAAAGAATGGACAGAAGAATATTCTAAAGTCAAAGGTATTTATACGAATATGACATCAATCTTTCATGTATTGAAAGAAACTATAGAAGATTTCGATCTATATTCGATTCCAATTAGTTTTATCAAAATAACTGATGAACATAAAACTCCACCAAAACTTGACGAGTTAGATTCGTCTTTTATGTATACACAGATAATCAAAGAAATTTTATTAAGTATTGATTTTAAAAAAGAACATATGGAAGAGTTTGTTACTTATTGTCGTCAACCATTCGACACCAATCCTGTGTCAATTGAAAGTGTTGAGAAATTTGCAAAAGAATATCGTAATCATCAAGCTATATGGTGGTACACTAGTCCAAGTTTCTTATATGGAATGTTGAATAGAGCATTGCGTTTAATGGAAGTTGATTTAATTATTAAAATGGCATTTTTTATTCGAGATCTTCACACCGAAATTACATCAATTCATACAGAACAATGTGATGATTTCGATGATTCAACTTTGTTTACTGTTTATCGTGGTCAAGGAATGTCTGAAAAGGATTTTAATCGAATGAAAAATACACAAGGTGGATTAATCTCATTCAATCATTTCTTATCAACAAGTCTTGAACGATCAGTAGCCTTCGTTCTTGCAGATAGTTCGATTCAAAATCATGGTTTAATTGGCATTCTATTTGAGATAACTATCAAACCATTTATATCTTCATGTCCATTTGCTAATCTTACGGATATTAGTTATTTTGAAGAAGAACAAGAGATACTCTTTTCCATGCATTCTATTTTTCGTATTCAATCAATGAAACAAAGCGAAGAAAATGAACGTATTTGGCAAGTGAATTTAACACTGACAGATGATAATGATCTTGAATTACATACTTTAACTGAATGTATAAGAAAAGAAACAGAAGGTTCGACAGGATGGGAACGACTTGGTCAATTAATGATTAAATTAGGACATTTCAATAAAGCAGAAGAATTTTATAGAACATTGATCAAAGAGACCGATGATGAAAATGAAAAAGGCAATTTATTTCATATACTTGGATGTATCAAAAATGAACTAGGAGAATATAACGAAGCAGTGAGATATTGTGAACAATCAATTGAAATCAATCAGAAGATTTCTCCTTCAAATTCACTGAATCTCGCTACTTCGTACAATACTCTCGGTACAATCTATAAAAGTATCAATGAATATTCCAAAGCATTGTTCTTTTATGAAAAAGTCATCGAAATTAGACAAAGAAATCTTCCTGAAAATCATAACCATTTGTCTATTTCTTATAATAATATTGCTGGAGTATATGATAACATCGGTGAATATTTCAAGGCAATTTTATATTATAATAAAACACTTGAAATTGAAGAAGCGAATCTTCCTGCTAATCATCCGAGTTTAGCGACTTCTTACAATAATATTGCTGTTTTATATAAGAATATAGGCGAATATTGCAAAGCACTTTCATATCATGAAAAAGCACTTCGAATAGAAGAAAAAACTCTTCCTGTAGATCATCCAGATTTTACCCAATCGTACAACAATATTGCAGGAGTTTATTACAAAATTGGCGAATACTCGAAAGCACTTTCATATTATCAAAGAGCGATTGAAATCGAGCAGAAAACTGTGAATAACCCTTCACATATCGCTACCTTTCACAATAATATTGGATCGATATATGACACTGTGGGAGAGTATTCCAAAGCAATTTTATCTTTTGAGAAAGTTTTGGAAATTCTACAAATGAATCTCCCTGAAAATCCAGTTTATTTAGCTAATACTTACAACAACATCGCTTCCGTGTATAATAATATGAGGAAGTACAAGAAAGCATTTTCTTATTATGAAAGAGCCATTGAGATATTTACAAAAAATCTCTCAGTAAATCATCCTGATTTGGCTACTGTCTACAACAATATCGCTTCCGTCTATGATAAAATGGGTAAGCACTCGAAGGCAGTTTCATATTATGAACAAGCACTTGAAATATTCACACAAATTCTTCCTGATGATCATCCAAATTTAGGTGCTTGTTACAATAATATTGGTCTAGTGTATGATAACATTAATGAATACTCGAAGGCACTTTCAAACTATGAGAAAGCTATTGAAATATTTAAAAAACGTTTTCCTACTAAGCACCCAGAGTTGGCTACTTCCTATAATAACATTGGATGGATCTATACCAGCACAAATGATTATTTAAAAGCATTGTCATATTTTCAACAGGCTCTGGATATTTTTCAAAGTTCATTACCATCTAACCATCCTAACATCCAACATGTGATAAACAGCATTGAAATCATTAAAAGTCAACTCTAAATGACATTTGTCTTAGTTTTATTATTGAAAATTATATTTTGAGATGGATCATTTTTACTAACAGCCTTTTCTGCTGTGTATTCACAGATATAGCGATTCTTTTTTCATTTTAGGGTGTGGCTATGGGGCATAGAGAAAACAGCCTCACCGCCACCCCCACCCTCACCCCTCACATCCCCTTCCCTTCTGTTAAGCTGAATCGGGTATTTGATATTATCAAGAGAATTTGATTTTCCATAATACTAAAAATGTATAACTAATAACAACAACAGCTAGTGATGTCAGAACAAAGTTAATACGCATTCAAATTGAAGGCAAATATTTTCATAATATTCTATATGAAAAATGATTGTATTTTGTGCATCAACGGAACGTTCTTAATAATAAGAAAAGGGAGTTCTGAACAGAAAGATTTATTTAATTTATCTCACAAACAGAATGATGTTATGAAAAAGATCACGCTTACAAGGGAGGTACCCGAAATGTTTAATCGCTTTAGAGTCCATACTTTGGGCATATCGAGGTGACATATAGATAACAACAATCCTAAAAGGATTTGAGCCCATGCCTCTTTTAGGCTGAGATATTCAATTTTCAAGTTTCATACGATAAAAGGAATTCTAATCCTATACTATGTATATTTTCAAACAAAAATAAGCTGTAAGCAGGAAATTCTATGATGAACTGGCTGCATCGCTAGAAATTAACTATAAAATGCAGAGTTTTTTTTTAAATTTCTGTTAATCAGAGAAGTTTTTTCTATCGTATTACCAAGGGGAAAAGTACGGAATCAGAAATCTTTGGAATCTGATGGAATTCTGGAATCATTTGGATTCATTTAGAATCATTCAGAATCATTCAGAATCATTTAGAATTATTTAGATTCATTTGGAATCCTTTGAAATCCTTTGGAATCACCTGGAATCCTTTGGAATCATCTGGAATCACCTGGAATCATCTGGAATCACCTGGAATCATCTGGAATCACCTGGAATCATCTGGAATCTTTTGGAATCCTTTGGAATCACCTGGAATCCTTTGGAATCATCTGGAATCACCTGGAATCATCTGGAATCACCTGGAATCCTTTGGAATCATCTGGAATCTTTTGGAATCCTTTGGAATCTTTTAAATTCAGTTAGAATCATACAGAATCTTGAAATTACAAATTATTTCTTTATATATATGAGTTTCAGATCAGTAGACGCGCGATGACATAAAATATAACTCAGAAGTGTGAAAATGAAAACGAGCGAAGTTTGAATCTAAATATTTATGAAATAAATGTGGAAGCTTCGAGTTTTATCCGAGGACTATATGCATTGCAAAAAGTGTATTAGAAAACATAGGAAAACCATACCACAAGTATCAGTAGTTTTTCCAATAACTAAGAAAAAGATTATACAATAAGGCTTATCTTCGACCTCGACTTAAATATTAATGAGACTAAACGATGTAGAGAATTTCACTAAAATATGACACTTCCTTCTTAAGTTATCGTGTAAGCGAATAACCGAACACACTGGCTGATTTTAGTAGTTCACTCTCGTTGAATACGCTATAAAAACATTTGGTAATTGAACGAGGATTGAAAGGAAGGTAACAAGAGAGAACGGCATTTTGGTTTTTGAATTCATATGAATTCTTTATGATATTTTCCAAAATTCATAGAAATCATGGAATTCTGCAACTCTTGATTCCATCGGATTTCATAGAATTCCAGAGATCCACAATTTTGCTCTTTACCTCTTGATTATAATTCAAGAAAAAAATCACGAGTCATCGACGCATGTATTCATCACCATCCAGTCATTAGCGTAAAAAGCCAAGGAAAACATGTTCATATGAAAATTGGAAGGCGATGCGGATGAGCTCATTTAGTAATTTTAGCTACTTATTGAAAAAAACTATGGGCTTATAAGGAATTCTAAAGAATCTTTTGGAATCAGTTAGAAGCATTTAGAATCAGTTGGAATCATTTGGAAGTATTTAGAATCATTTGGAAGTATTTAGAAGCATTTGGAATCTTTTGGAATCGCTAGAATCCAATAGACTTCTTGGGAATCCAGGATTCCATGATTCCGTACTTTTCCCCTTGGGAAAATCACAACTTATTCGTGCTGTTACTGAATATTTTGTTATTACAAACAGAATACAAAAGATGCGAAAGCTAGCACCTACTGGAATTGTAGCCGCTGAAATTGGTGGTATGACTGTCTATTCATTTTTAGGTGAACAACGCCATTCTGGAAAGGCACGAACCATTAAACCAGGCGACTTAAAACTTAAAAAAGAATGGACACTTGTAGAATCTCTTGATTGATGAAATCAGTATGGTTGGTTTGTCTCTACTCGGAAAACTCAACCGAATTCTTTGTGCCGCAAAACATACCGATCCTCAAATTGCATTCGGTGGTATAAACGTTATATTCTTCGGTGATTATCTACAATATCGACCCGTATACGATGCCCCATTACACACTGACTTTTCGTCAGAAAACAAAACGAAATTTAATAAATTACTTTCGGAAAAAGAAATACAGCAACGTGTTGCACGTTCATTAATTCTTCAAATTAATTGTGTGGTCAAACTTACTCAACAGATGCGAACAGAAGATCTACGATATCTTCGATTACTCGAGCGACTTCGTCAGGGTCAATGTAGTTATGAAGACTATGAATTATTATTGACGCGCGTTGACGGACAGTCATCAGTATCTCTTCGTGAACCACCATGGAATCAAGTAACCATATATATATTTCTTTATTGTACACAAACATACTCTATATTGCTTTTTTTTCTTATTTTAGGCCCCGATGCTTGTATTTATAAATGAAATACGAACGCAATTGAACCACAGATCAGCAATTCATAATGCAGTAGAAGCCGGTACCAATCTAATGGTATGTGTCGCTCAGAATTTTTGCAAAGGCAAGGCTGTGGAGGAGCCGGCACTTGTGAAAAAATTATTAGAACTATCTGATAGTAAGACTGAACATTTGCCGAGTTTGTTACCGTTAGTTCCTGGAATGCCTGTTATTATTACACAAAATATTGCTATTGAACTGGGATTAATTAATGGTATGAATGGAATCTTTAGACAACTGCCCAGTGAAAAATATTTGTAAAAGAATCATGATTATCTCTCATTACGTGCAACCTAATCAGATTTTTCGAGAAATATAAGTTTTCTTCTCAAAGAATCCGATTATAATCAATTTTTTTCCCGAGACAGTTGTTAAATAATCGCTAACTTCTGATTATAATCGATTATTTGATATTAAATCAGATGAAATCCTTGAAATTAATTAAAACTGTCCTAATCAATTAAAATTCTAATCAAATAAAACCTAGTTAGATAATTTTTAATCGACTGTAATTGATTGCTTGGCCCTGAATCAGATGAAATCCTAATAATCAGCTATAATTGCATTAATCGATTAAAATCTTAATCAAATCAAATTCAATTGAATGATTATCAACTGGTTATAATTGATTACCTCTAATGAATCAGATGAAATTCGAAAAATTGATTATAATTTCACTAATCGATTATCATTCCAATCAAGAAAAATTTGATTCTGAGATTATGAATTGGTTGGAATCGATTATTTCATTTTGTAAAAACTCAAACTAGACAATCAATTATAATCTCCCTAATCGATTAAAATTTCAATCAAGTTCAGTTCCATTTTTTTAATTATAAATCGATTATAATTGGTTAGTTGGCAAAAACCGGATGAAATCCTGATAATCAGATATAAACTGACTAATCAATTAAAATCTCAATTGTGTAGAATCTAGTTGTACGATTGTCAATTGATTTTAATTGATGGATTCGTAAAAAATCGAATGTACTTCAAAAAACGATTATAATTTCATTAATTGATTAAACTCTCAATCAAGTCAAAACCGATTTGTAATTAGAAATTGATTATAATCGATTATTAAGTAATAAATTTCATGAAGGCTTTTCATTATCAATTGATTGATTTGAATAATTTTTGCTTTCCATATCGATACCTATTGATCATATACAACTCTCGTGACTGTATGACATGCACATTACTGAACTCTATTGAAAAGCGATAATACTCAAATGTACATTCTACATATCTCATATAATAGATATAGAATAGCTAGTAAGCTTAGAATTGATTTCAATCATGCCGAAGAAGTAAAAATAATTTATCAAAACCTTTGAAATCACATCAATTTATGAGCTATGAACTAGATTCGGAAAACGAAAAAAGCAGCAACTCTGATCTGGTCTTTCAAAAATTACTACCTTCTCGATAAAGTCTTCCACATTGACTAGAACAAATGACCAATTGGTAGTCGGAGCTGTTTGTACACCTGCAAATTCAAAATTTTCGGATCCATCAAGTGGACATATTAATGGTGAGGCATTCAATGAATGAGCGATGAAGAGGAGAGGTTCTCCGTCGTTGACAGTGAGAATGGATCTGATGCGTCCAAAAGTCTTGTTTCCATTGAACAGGAATAATATATTTGAATCATCACATGTCTTTTTATCAGAATATGTTCTTGTGGTGAGACGGATATGATCAATATATAACGTGTTGTAAAAACTAATTTTTGCTTGTGGAAAAAGATGGCGAACATCAGAATCTTCTCTCTGGTTTTGATGTCCAACTTTAATTAGTTTTCTTTTCGGATCATTGTTCTTCAAATGTGAGAGGTGTGACTGCACGAAAGGCGCAAGATTTGTTTTACTTGACGACACATAAGCATGACGTAATGCATGCTGATATAGACATAGATTACTGATCATTTCTTGGCCATGATTTCGTGAGCCTTTCGTAGCATGAACAAGCATTCCTATAACAATAAAGTAAAAGTTCTATTAAGATAAAAAGGATAAGTATTTTTCACCAATATCATTTTCAAAATGAAAAGTTGTATAATTTGTTAATGGACCAAAATCTTGTACTGTATCTGGAACATGTAGAATTGAGTGAACGACCTGTACACAATGTCTTTCGGTGTACAATAATGAAAATTTTATCAAAAAACTATGACATAACCGAGTAATAATTCTGATGTCTAATTTGTCGATTTCTCGACCTTCAGCTAAATGCATTATAACCACAAGTTGTAAAAGATGATCGTAAAAACGTTTCGGTAATATTGCTTTGAAAATTGCATGACCGAAAAGAAGAAGAACTCGAAGTTCGTTTGCTTTAAATTTATTATAATCTAGAAGAGACCGAGGAATACGAGTAGTGGTTGATGGTAATCGAACTCGTTTAAAAAGATCAGCCAATTTGTTGATTCGTTCAATCACATTCCACTCTCTCGTACGATATTCTTTACCAAGCCATAATCCCAGCATTCTTTTCTGCAATTGATTTAAAAATATATCATCAGATGAACACTCGATGTTTACTCACGAAAAGCCCTATATATATATTATGTAAACTATCCGCCATGAACGAACGTCCAACATCAAAATGCAATAATTCTCGAAATAAACAAATGCCTGCAATTCCTTTTTCATTTTGTTCATCAGTTAATTCATCTATTAACCGATTTCGCTTTGGCCATAGATTTCTTAGTTGCTTTTGTAATTCAAATAAATTTATTAAATGATCATAGCGCTCATTTGATCGTATTTGAATGTTATCTATATCATGCTGAGTCATGGAAAAGCTTCTAACATGACCACCTCTATCAGTGGGAAGTATAAAACCTATGATAATAATATGTATGCATAGGTCTCATCAATAAAAATTGCTGACCTTCTATTTCACATCTACCACAGCCAAACGATGAGGTTGGCTGTGCAACACATTGAACTAAAGCCTGTGCAGGCTTGTCGCAGCATGCAGCTATAAGATAGACTTGTATGTCGCGTATTTCACCATTAAATATACGATAAGCATGACTGGCTTCAAGAAGAAGAAGTTGATCAATCACAGAACGTAATAAATGTTTGATTTGATCTCGTGAAGGTTTAGCTGGACCAGGCCAAACTCCACCTAGTATAATATTTTCAAAAGCGAATCGAATACTTGGAGAAAGTTCATTTATCACAAAAACAATAGGCCATAATGTTGATATTGAACCTTTAGAAGGCTGTATGCCATCAATATTCATTGTCAACGTCAACATTGAACTCGAAATTCTACGACGTATCGCTTGGAATATAGCTGCGTCACGAACATCACGTATTAAACTGTCTTTTCGTCGATAACATAAATCAATATCACAACTATTCATAAGGATATTTTCTAATTGATCCTTTATCGAAAAAATAATGAAAGATTGAAGTTTGACATTATGGTTAGTTGAACAAAATTGACAATATTTCTCATTGGTTGTCGATTGATTACAAACAGAGCAAATATAATATTTGGTTGACTTGGGCTTATATTTACCAAGAAGATGTTTAACTTTGTGCCAACTTGATGGTGTATTTGGTACGTTAAGACTTTTAAAGAGCAAAATTATATCTTTGATACATGTTGTTGACAGACGATGTTTTTTCTTAAGTAAAATAAGGGCACTGGCAATATCAGTTTCATTTGCAATGCCAAATGCAAAGAATTCGCTTTCTCCTGAATTTTGATTTTCTCCATGATTTATTATTCTGAATATAATAAACTAAACAGCTAAGAAAAGAAAAATACTGTCATACAAATCTTGCATACGATCATCTTGCTCATCATGTTCCTGCTCACTATCACTGGTGTCGAAAGAATCGCTCGAAGCCCTTTCTTCTTCCACAGAAGCAATGTTACCGATATCATTGTCTGAATTGTGATCATCATCAGGTTGAAAAAGTTGCAATCCTTATAGAAAGATATATTCAAGACGAAAATATTGATTGTAGAAAACAAAATCAACCTAATGCAATGGCTTTATCCACTTTTTGGTACTGACGCCAAGTAGTCCATCTACTCTGCTTTGATTCCATATCTACAGGTAAATTGGTTATCTTTGACAATAGCACGTGTAAAATTAAAACTTTATTTCTTTAGATATATCATAAAACAAAAACAAACATATAACATCTGAAATAAACGACACTTTTCTTTCTGCTATGCAATCATTTGTACGAAAGAGTAGTAATATAATTTAAGCCACACTAGCATTAGTATTTGCTATTGTTGTTAATGCCGGACGTTGAGTTAATTGACCACTATATTGAAGTTTTCTTGCGAATGTTCGTGTAGCAAATACGTTTCCCATGGCGCGTCGTATTTTTGATTCATCATTAGCTTTTTTCTCCAGCGGATGGACCAACCAACAGTATTCTAAATTTCAAGATATAACGACAAAAAATTCTAAAAAGAATCGCACCTGTCACTGCTTGAATATGTTTTTTATCAACGTCAGTAAATTTAGCAGCTGGATCAGGATATTTTGCTCCAATTACTTGTCGAGCAGTAGAAAGAATAGTCTTCCCTGTTTTGGCATTTAATTCAATTTCATTCATACCAAGTGTCTCACAAATTGAACGAACTAAAGCATCTTGATCAACAGTACTATCATTATGATCTGATAAACCTTCAACTTCATCGGATAATACTTTGCCAATATTAATAAAGTACTGGATTGTTGCTTTATCAATAGGTCGTGCTAAAATTAAAATATAAACGAGAGTTATCAGTAGAATCGAAGTCAGAAATAACAAATTCCGAATATACATTCAATATTGATAATGTAACAAAAAGATACAATAGAACAGGGTTTGTGTATCAGTTTCAATTGTGCTATTTTTTGTTATTCCGTCTAATTTAACTGTGATGAGAATATCTTTATGCAAACGTCATTATGTCAAACATGTCTAGTTTTTGAAATCAAACAATCTGCTGACATGAGATATAGAAACATTGAGTACAGAATACATTCTAATAATTGAACTGGTTAAAAGAATGAAGAAACGACTATGCATTCAATTTTTTCCAGTACTCACGCATCCATGTTGTTTGATATAATTCATTCTGCTCATTCGCTGCAACAAGTTGAGAGACAATCTTTGCATGATCTTTAGCAGAAATGAAACCGATATTTTTCTGACGCTTTGTATTTGTTGGAATTGATAGATCATTCTCATTGGGTGAAACTTTACGTTTTGTTGTGGCTGAAGATTCTGAACACAGAACAAATAAAAATCATCTCCATTTAAAATACTTGTAATTAACCTGTGCTAAGGCGTGGTGATTCAAGAGTCATCGTATTCGTCAAATCAGGAGGAGATGAGACAATGTTTACGGGCATATACCCTTGCACATCTCCTTTTGTAAGCGATTGTCTATTTTCTTTATTATTCGCTCTCTCTTCTTGCTCTTCTTCTTGTTCTTCAGCAACTTCTTCCCCTTCCTCAACATCTTCCGCTTCTTCACCTTCATCGTCTTCTGCTTCTTCGCCTTCATCGTCTTCTCCCGATATTTTGTCATCTTCGTCTTCTGCAACAGCTTCGTCATCCAAAAAATGATGTTCACTTTTCTTTTGTTTTTTATTTAACAACATTGTATTTTCTGTTGTTTTCCTTTTGTTGCTGTTTAACGATTGACTAGAAGCCATTTCCATCTTTTCTATAATTTGTAACGACTGTTTACGTTGTTCTTTGCCACCTAAGAGATCGCAAACGCCTTCGAAAAAATACTTCTTCCAAACAAGAATCTTACCAAGTAAAACAACTGTCGCTCGAATACGTTTATCACGTTTTCCATGGGAAACAACATCGCCAACATTTACCTTCGACAATTGTTTTGCAGAAATCATTTCCATACGTGGCACTATTAACAATTTTCCCCCATTCTCATTTCGTAAAACAGCATAAATATCATTATCCTTTTCAGTTGTTGTCTTAGTAGAAATTCGTGTTTTTTTCGATACACTTTTTGCAGAAGAAGGCATGATAAAAGAGAGAATAAAACGAAATTGGAAAAGAAATATAAAACAATCTAAATAAACAATTTTCACCGAAAACCATGATTAAGTATCACTTTCGAAAAATTAAAAAAAAACAGTCTATCAAAACACGTCGGAAACGCATTCGAAAACAAGCAAGAACTATCAGCGTTTCACTGTATATACTATGCGCAATATCCAACCATTACTAACCAACCTTAATTATTACTAAACCATAAAAGCAAATAAGCCAGCAGTATTTCTCCGACACTGGGATTTCCAATCCATACCAATTTCCGCATAGATTCCGAAATGCAAAACGTTTCACACGATTTCTCGAAAACAAGTTCACAAGCAAAAAGCGGCTGACAATAAAAAATCAACGTTGAACCGACGAACGCCGAACCAGTCACAGTTTTTTGTGGATACTGGTGATGAATCATAACGTTCGGTCGCCCAATCAGCGCCGCTTCCCCGTTGCGCTCAACTCCGGCCTCTTGTTACCACGCACAAAACAACAAAATCTTCTTGCACATAGATGTCAGCATTCACTACTCTAAACCACTCATTCATCTCGACCACTCTCATCCTTTTAATCGATCAAAGTCCCAAACAAATTTATCTACCGACTGTCAGATTCTCTCTCCTGAACCATTTTCCTCTGTTGTCTTTCATTATCTAATCCAACCAGACGACACTACAGTATCAACATCCTCAATGTCTGATTTTTACGCTGCAGATTATAATTGATTTTTTCTTTCATATTAGCTGAGTTTATACATGAGACTGAAGCGGGATAGTTGTATAGACCACATAGGTTTCACAGTCTAGATCGTCTGCCATGATCGCCTAATCATTAGGTGAGTGATTATAATTGATTCTTCCTTTCATATTACTTCACTTTACAGATGAGAGCGAAGTGAGATAGTTGTATAGACCACATAGGTTTCACAGTCTAGATAGTCTGCCATGATCGTCTAATCATTAGGTGAGTGATTATAATTGATTCTTCCTTTCATATTACTTCAGTTTACAGATGAGAGCGAAGTGAGATAGTTGTATAGACCACATAGCTCTCACAGTCTAGTTCGTCTGACATGATCGTCTAATCATTAGGTGAGTGATTATAACTGATTTTTTCTTTTATATTAGTTGAGTTTGAATGACTGGAAAGTTATATAGTAAGCTCTTGGAGACTTTTTTTCATTTGAGAAAACGTTGGGGGTACATTTTTTGAGTAGTTGCGAGAGAGACAGATGCGATATAGTTTAGCCGCGTATGAGCTTTACTTGTGAATCGATACCAAAATCGTAATTTTACTGGTTATAATCGTGATTTTAATTTAAGTTACTTTTCTTCATTTTATATCCTAAAGTGATAGATAACTTCAATGAGAGTGCTCTCTGGTGCCAGAGAAACGTATCTATCCACGATTTATTTAGTTAGTTGAGATGTATCCTTAGGCAGTATTGTTCAGAGAAGGTATGAGTCGTTCCGCTATTCTCTCACTTGCTCTAATATAACACTCCGAAGTTTTCCATTCACACTATCAGCAACTTGTAGTATTCAGTATGCTTCTTTGCACGCGTTGACTTTTTACACTAGCACAATTACTATTGCGATCTAAAGTTATATCTTAGGAGATGTGTGTTCTTTCACATCCTGGACTTATTCACAGTTTATTACTTTTTTATTTTCGATAATATGGTCTTTTGCATAAGTCCAGGATGTGAAAGAACACACATCTCATAAGATATAACTTTAGATCGCAATGGTAATGGT